TGGACCTATTTATATATTGGTTTTCATTTTTATTTAGGATATAACTTACTACACATGGGCCTAATTCTAAATGTTTTCTCAAGCAAAATGACTTCAAGACGTGCTACATATACTGAGTCTGTCAAACACTGCTAGACTTTATTACAGCTCTAAATAAGATTATTAGGTTTATTACCACTGTTTTTAATATGATAAAATGTGTAAAGAATGTCTATGTAATTTTTAAACTTGACTACAAATATTTACTTGTTTTTTTAAAGATATCACCATACAATGTTGATTTCCAGGGGAAAAATTAAAATGATGCTGTGAAAATCTCAAACTACAATATAAAGTGCAATACACTAACACACACATAATTTTAAATATGTTTCCCTCTATCTTCATTAATAGTTTGGTTTTTAAGGACTGTATTTGAAAGCAGGTTACAGAACATTATACAACTATGTGTTCTATAATTATATTTTAGATTAGTATTCTAAATTCAGCATATTTCTCTTTAGCGAGAAAGAACAATTTTCTATGTAAAAAAGGTTTAACAAAGTGCAGCATATCTCTAATAGTATTACAATTTTTTTTAAAAAGCAAGGAAAACATATTTGAGATCCCCTAAAAAACTGATTTACTAAATAGTACCAGCACTCAAGTTTACATGTTTTCTACATGAATCAGTGATTCTATTTGATTTGCAACTAAGGTAATATAAAGGAATCACCTGACCACTCCATTATAATCACAGTTCACAGCTTCTGCACTACCTGTTATATGCATACCTAGAGTTGCTCTACATATTCTGTGGAACAGAAACCAGTATATACCTTTAGAAAAAGAGCTTAAAACTAACTTTAAAGATCTAAGAAAAGCAAAGGAAAAAGGAAACTTGTGCCCAGCAAGTTTGTAATGCCTATTACATTCAAATATTTCATTGAAGTTCAATAGTCTTCAACAAATACATGCTTATATAATGCATAATGTTTTTCCACAGCTAGTAGCATAATATGCCCTTAATATGTTCACTCCGCTTCACAAAGGGGAAAAAAACACATCAATACAGGATTTAAAATGGCACAAGTCAATTCCTGTTAACTTCAACAAATATCAGTCAACACTTTGCCAAAAAATAAAAGAAAAATCCTTTCCTAAATACACAACAGATGTTTCTACTTCAGTTGTAAAATCTCTGAGCAGATGCTATACTTAACAGCAGTATAAAAAGAGTGGTATTAAATTCCTATAATTCATCTGTAAAAATTGAACATATAATATAATTAAGTACATAAATATTTTGGAAGCTTTTGCTTTTTCTTTGATTATTAAAGTCATTCAAAAATATAATGGTCAGGGATATCTTATTAAATTCATAATATTCATCTGTAATAACTACAGATTACACTAATGAAGCAGAAACAAAAAACAGGAGAGTGTAGCACTTTAAAGACTAACAAGATGGTTTAATAGGTGATGAGCTTTCGTGTGCCAGACCCAATATGTTATTGCACCCTGTCAGTAAGCCCAAGGCATTTCTTTTGGTAAAAATATATGAACATTTAATAACAGACAGACAGACAAACAGATGCTACTAAATGTTTATATATTTTTACCAAAAAAATATATGTCTCCTCATTGGAAATAAATTAGGAAATAAAAGCCTCAATACAATTACACTAAGCAAAATTAAATGTACAATTATACATTTCTGCAAAAATACCATGGAGGTATAACTGAGGAATTTAAAAATATTACAAAGCAATTTACTACTTCAAGTCAAAAGAATTTTGACAGCACTAGTGAGGTTAGCTGTTCTGCAGTTATTTTGCAGATATAAGACATGTCTTAACATATCCATTAAAACAAAATAAAACCTAAGCACCAAACTATGCTAGCCCTTTGTCTGAAGATGAAATTCTGGCCCCATAAAAGTCAATACATTTTTGCCACTGAGTTCCAATGGGGCCAAGATATCCATCTGAGAAAATAAATCTGTTTTCAATGCACATATTTTAAATTAGAACCACAATTCATGTAATTTAAATAAGCATATCCAAGTCTATCCAGTGTGTCATAAATATACCTAAACTATTTTCCGAAAAGTTATGGCCTTACTGTGCCATCAGTTCTTACGATGATATCCTTGTATTTAGGTAAGAACTTCTTAAAGATGAATAGGACAGTACAGTCTTTTTATCACATTTTACATGCAATTATTTTTGAAATTCATATTGCACTAGAATAATGTTTGCTTTTTTAAATAAAAGACTAGATATTGAAAACTATCTAAAAATGTTTGATAAGTTATAGTGACTATTGAGACTTTTTTTATAGCACTGAGTGAAATCCTTGCCTGATTGAAATCAAAGCCAGAAATCTGATTTACTTCAGATGGGCCAAGGCTTAATTCAGTATCTTCAGAAATTAAAAGAAATAAAATAAAAATATGTATTTTATTAAATGATTAGCATCCACATTAATTCAAACTTGACTAGCATTTCCATCATAAAAAGAAAAAGTTACCTCATAACATTTGAGAAGGTAATATATTTCACTCCAAATGTAACAGCTGACCATATACAGAGTAAATTAATTTTTTCCATGCATACTTTTAAGTGGACCTGAAAATGTATAGCCAAGTTATACTGATTAATCAAATATTTAGATTGGCTTTCTGCTTCAGAAGGCCATTTTCCATACTGTTAATTGCAGAATTACTAAAACTTAACTGAAGATGTAGAATTGAATATCGTCTATGGAACAGTACTTATTTTATGCTTCTGGTGTGAGAAGTGCATGTCTACACTAGGAGAGTTTGCAACAATGTAATTGTCAATGTGGGGCACTGTGAGACAGTTTCTGAAAGGCAGCAAGTTGATGTAAGCAATGCAGTGTCAACACTAACACTGCATGACCTAACCTAAGTTTTTCACCTCTCGCTGTGGTATTAAGTCAGTGTAGTATATAAATTACATCAGTGGGAGCTACATTTTAGAGTAAACATTTACAGAGTTAGTGGAATTGACTTAACGCTGTAGTGTAGACTAGTGCTCAGTTTTATTTTTATAATTCCTTGGACGCAAAACTACATTAACATTATAAAAGAAATTACCTACCTAAAATATAGATATGATTAAAGTACTAAATCTAGGAAAAACATAAAAAGTATATGCTTTTCTCTTAATTATCATTAGATTTCTTTAATTTGTTGAGGATAGTTCTTATTTTTAAACAGCTATGTCACACCATTTCAAATAATATACTTCTTTCTAAAAGACTATTTAATCTTAAAATAGCAATGTACTGTCCTGCACTCCTTAAGTTTTCTTTAAATCCACTTTGATTTTGAGTTCATATTGAAATTAACATATATTGATTATTCTAACCAAAATTTCCAGTTGATCCTACCAGTAAGCCAGGCTTGCTAATATGTAAGACTTTTTAGAGTCAACAATTACTCAGCCAAATTTGCACTGCTATCCTTATTATTAACATAGATATATATTGTGTGAAAGAGAAAAAACAGAGAACAGGTCAAAAGATAAAGGAAAGTAAAAATGGCCCATTTTAAGACACGGAAAAAATAGATACATTTATCAAGATTTGCAAAGGATGTTGCATATTAATTTATCTATACAAATTATTAAGCGGAAAGATAAATGAAAAACCAAAGAAGAAATCAAATGCTAAAGTTAGTGAAATAAACTTCAGAACTCAAACATAAATCAAAGACTGTTTAAGTCAACTTCAAATTCAATTCAAAAAGAATTTTGCCATTTTCAGTAACTCATACACAGCAAGTGAACAATCATACAGCATGTGGGTGTAGCCTGCAGTTACAGCTCTCGGCTACTGAGTTCTATGTTAAATTGTAACACTATAAGATGTCTGATTATTTATTTTATTTAATATTGAACCTTCAAAACACTAGATTTACCAGAGGCAACAAAAACACACACTAGTGTATATGAGCAATATATTAAAGAAACAAGTATTTTCCCCTACCCGCCCCAACCATTTCCACCTGCAAGTAACTTTGGCTTTAAACATCCTACAGTAAATGACTGCTTTGGCAATACTGACAATATCAATAACTCATAAGCTTTTAACCAAGAACAGAAAAGATTTTTCAGTGTTTGCTGTATCCAAAACAAACTGCTATTGACAACCATATTTTATAATTAATTATAAATAGGGACAATGAAACTCCACTAATACTCAAAACTTCTAGGCAACTGCTTTCACACAAAACGCCCAATGCATGTTTCTATAAGCAGTAATAAACATCATAAGATTAAGATAATTCACAGTAAATAGCAACATCCATCTGCAAATTAACCTAAGTGACATACTTTCAATTACACTACAGATGAATGATTATTTCAGAAAGCCCAACATGTTTTTACATTTCTACCCAGCCCTAAGATGGCACCATTCAGACTTAATTAAAAGAAATAGTTCTATCTTCCTATTCTCATTGTTCATTGTTGATTTTAACAATAGGATACAAAAATGAAACAAAACAAATAGGTGGTGAACACACCTTTCTTGCCCATCAGATATTTCAAGATATTAGTACGAAAATTAATAAGAATTAAAATGTGTTGACATTTTTAAAGCTACATACACTATTAGAGATCATTTGTGTTTCTGTTTCTTAATTATATACTGTAATTTCTCAGACTGACACCCTGCTGCATAAAATTATGCCCAGAAAATAACTTTCACAACAATGCTAAATTGAGACACTGAAATTGCAAATAATCTTAATTCCTTTGCATTTAGTTTTCCTCTTTAAAACAAAACAAACAAAAATTACTGAAGAACCAACTTAACATTAAAACAGGTGCAACTTCATGTAATGCTAAAACAGTTCACTTGGTGATAATGCTGCAACAAACTTCTTCTAAGAAACACCTTCCAATTAATAAATAACTCATTTTAAAAATCAAAGTCAAAGCTTTGTGTCCTCTCTCAAAATGAGGAAAAACAACTCTGTTTTTTATTCTTACCTGTGTATAGTCAAAGTCAGAAAGTGGAGCTATACTCTTGATGTAGTCCATTCGAAACTGATTTTCTGGATTGGCTAGTGGAACTGGTGGTATTAAAGTGCTCATTGCTGAAACTATAGTCTAGAATTGGATAAAACAAAAACAGACACATTAATCTGGCTAAATCTAAAACAGAGGATCAATAGATCATAATCCAATCTGATCAGCAAAATGGGATTTCTCTACACAATCCTAGAGAGCATATTACTTTTGGCTTCCAGTATGTAGAAGCATTTAAGAATAGTATAAAATGTGTTCTTACCACAATTGCATCTTTAACATTTTTCCGAATATCCAGTATTTTCTGTTTCTTTTCTCTGCATTAAAACAGAATTAATGATTTAACTTCTCTTAAAACAGCTGATTTGAAATGCATTCAGAATTTTTTACAGATTACTTAATTGCTGTTTAACCTTTATGACTAGCTGACTGAAAAGAACTGTAAGATTATTTTTCACCCATCACTTTTTTCACATTCTAGAAAAACAGTGAAAATACATCTCTGCCTGTTTTGTGATATTAGATAATCATAATCTGCAAAGCTTTCCTGGTGGGATTGGAAGTCATTCCTTCATTTCTATAGCATGCTAAATCTATTCCCCTACAATTCATAACAGATACTGTATAGTTTAAAAATCTTGCAGGTCTAAAATTAGCATACACTTAATATTAAATACTGGCAAACAGTTCTTCGGAGAGAAATCATGTCACCCACCAATATAGGGTGTATTACATTCATGCAAACTGGTTTCAGTTTTATGCTACCACCAGAAAAACTGCAGCAGCCCCATCATCCTGTGTACAAATTGATAGATCTCTCTCTATTACACACAGATACAATTATTAGTTATTTGCTGCTATGCAAAAAGTAGTCGCCATGTTGTTGCTACAGAGGGGCCTGTCAAGCGCTGCAGTAGCAACAGTGTAAAATACAGTAGAGGGTCAGAAGCAGAAAATACTAATATCTATTAGCAGTAATATTTTCTTTCTTTTTTTTCTTTCCTTTCCATTTTATTTATTTATTTATTTTTGCAAAGCCAATGTAAAACCTCCAATACACATACATACAAGGTGAAGGAAAGAGAGAAAATACCCCATGTGTTGTGTGTGAATATGTTTCAAGTGTATATTTACAAACAGAATACTAAAATTATCAAGAATTCTTACTCTGAATTAAATCCATTGACATGTAGGATCCTCATTTGTTTCACAATAGTGCTCTTTCCTGACTCACCAGCTCCTGGAAGAAAAAGACAGAATACTGCCATGTATATACGGGTTTTTTTGGTGACATGATAGCAGCATCTCCCATCTCCAACAGCATTTATATGTATGTATCCATGTGGCTCCCACACACAGCTCAATCTGTGGACTTTTCACATACTGCTGAAATAAAATTGCCTGCATTCTTTGTATCTAACACACACACACTCTCTCACACACATATTAATCACATAGCTTCTCCGTTATACCCCTACCAGGGGGAGTGCAGGCAACTGCACTCTCATCTCTCCCCCCCCTCCTCCGTCTTCCTTACCCAGCAGAAGCAAACGATGTGTGGCTTTATAAGCCAGTCTCTCCTTCTGCAACTGCTTCTCTATTTTTTTGTTGGCTTCTCGCTGCGCTTTCTCATCGATACGCTGATCCTCTGTTTTGCTGTTGCCCAAACACCCCATTTCTGCCGCTTACAGTAGATGTCAAATTGTGCTCTTTCTACAGAGATTTATTTACAGGAAATATGTAAGAGATGATAGGTATTTATATCCCTGCGACGGTTTCTCTTTTCTTTCTTCCCCCGATTGCTCAGATAAAATGGTCTCTGGTTTCTCTCTGATCAGACAGAGTTTGTTTTTTTCTCTCCCACAGAGATACAAAGAGCAGCTGGGAGAAATAAAACGTTTTTAAGTTGAAAAAAATCTGTACAAAAATGTCTAACACACAACGAAAGCGAGAAGGGCTCCTCCTGGAAACCAGCCTAACGCTGCGCTCCTCTCTCCCTCCCCTCAACACACACAATCCCTATATTTCTCTGTAAAGGTCTATTTTTGTCTTTCTAACTCAGCACTGCCTCTTTCTGTGAGACCAGGAAACAGTCAAATTACAAACCCTACACAAGTGAAGAGAGAAGGAAAGACATAAAAGCTGTACCTGGATTGTGCTGGATTCGTCCTGAAACCTGCCAATTTTTGACCTGGAAAAGTCCCAAATTGTGCCACAGAAAGAGAGTTCTAGTCTTAAGCTGCTACTTAAATAAAAAATAAAATAAGTAATAAATTTAGACCCTGATGAATCCCAGGGAGTATGATCGTTGCAAAAATCCTAAACCAGCATCTGCAGACTGACAAATTTTGATCTCTCCATAGCGAATAAGTCAAGCCATGCTTATGGTACCAAATAAATTCTGGATTTTTGCACATCTCATCTGCAAAAATCAAGATCTGATGGCACCTACCCAATCAAATTCATTTTTGACTTTCAACCCGTCCCATACCAAAATTCCTTGGCATTCATGGAGAACAAACATAACTTATTGTATCAAAAATTCTGGACTCTCCTATTCCTGTACACGAGTGCCACAAAAATCTAGCTATTAGCAAAAATCTGGATATTGGCAATTTTTTACCCTAACCTCCAAACACTACATTTAAAAGAGAAAACAAGTGTAACTATCCCTACTACTACACTGGAAAGATCCAGTGATCCCAATGGCACTGGAAAACACATCTGGTTCCTGCTAGTCTACCAATGTTTAACTCTCTTCTTCCCAAATCTACTGTCTAAACCAAGAAAAAAAATGTAACAGTTTCTTTAATGTCCCCAAACATGGAGATTGTTAGGAACTGACCTACTAAATAGTACAGGTTGAATCTCTCTAGTCTGACACCCTCGGGACCTGACTTGTGCTAAACCAGAGAATTTGTTGGACCAAGGGAGGTCAAATGTCTAGTGTTACCAACACTTCCACTGTTTACTGGGCTCTTAGAAGACATTTGGGGTAAATTAGTGCTAAATAACAGCACAGTACACTGAAGGCCAGGACTGGCTCAGTACCGGCTCTTGCTTCCCCCTGCCTTGCTGCCTCTGATATAGAGACATCAAGGGAGATGGGAGAAATGTGAGTAGTAGTTGACTATTTGACTACTCTTTTACATCCCTAAGTGGGAGAGCACTTGCAATGCTGCTTAATAAAGTATAACTTTACAGATAACCATATATAAGCCTATGCGTTACATCAGCTCTCTTCATAACAAAGTGCTAGCGTTGTTACATAATTTTACTGTATTGGCACAAGGAAATAAGTATATAAAGCATAGAAAACATACTTATGCTTAGCAGCATCACCAACATGTCCACTGCTTATTGGTCTCAGAAGACTTTTAGGGGTAATTTAGAACTAAATATCAGCACAGAATACTGAGAGGTAGGACTGGCTGGTGCAAGCAAACTTTACGGGACTGCAAGGAAGTTGGCCATGCCCATGATAAGTGGATATCCAGCTAACTGAAATCATGTCAGACCACGAACCTGTACAAGGTCACAATATCCAGCATGTGGAGCCTACTGAAACTGTTTTAGGTTGGCCCTCTATTGCTTCATCAAAACAGACAACCTATGTGACGCTTTCTAGTTGGTCAGCAAAACCCTGCTCTCACACCTCACTGCAAGAACAATAACTGCACACGACACCTGAGTCTTGCAGGATTCAACAAATTTTTGGCCATAAACCTTTAAATTGTAGTCTATATATAGTAACCAAGCACAGCTCTTAGTCTACTAAAAAAATCTAGTTCCTGAACCATTTCAGCAGATAAGCACTTAGAAGGCAGAACACGGACTGAGATCCAAAAAGATATCCCCCCATTTTTTTACCTCTATCCACAAAATAATAATTTGTAGATACACAAGCAAGAATCACCATCCATTTACCTTAACTGGATTTTTCCAAGTGCTTGTCAGGAAGGATTGATCAGGGACCAGATTTTGGTACAACAAACTAGGAGCAACTATTCTCAGGATAAAATCCTGGCCTTACTGAAGTCAATGGGATTTTGCAACAGCACCGGGATTTAACCTTTGGCCTTTATTTTAAAAAATGTAGATGTTAGTAGCCAAAAAAAAGAGGACCAATGTGGGCTTTTGAATTACTCTTGCAGTGGGATGTCAGAGCCTGGAAATTTTGTATCAAATAGAAACACAACATGAGTAGTCTATTTTGACAGTACAATTTGGAAAGTAGGGGCCAAAAATGTTAGGATCCAGCAAGTTCTGGTACCAGGTATGTGTCTTTGCAGTGCAGCTGATCAGGAGTATATAAAATTTGGAGTTTTGCAATGGAAATTGAGAAACTGCTCTTTTCTATTTAGTTTGAGTTTGGGATTTCTTGGCTACAAGGGCACTCTGTTGGCTCATGTCCAGCTTCTCATCCACTGTAACCCCCAGGTCCATTTCTACAGAATTGCTACTTAGCCAGTTGGTCCCCAGCCTATAACAATGCTTTGGATTCTTCCGTCCCAAGTGCAGGACTCTACACTTGTCCTTGTTGAACCTCATCAGATTTCTTGTGGCTCAATCCTCCAATTTGTCTGTGTCACTCTGGACTCTATCCCTGCCCTCCAACATATCTACAGATTAAAAAAAAGTCTAGCTGGATAAAGGTACTAGATAAATATTTTTTGCGGTGCTGCTGCATTACAGTTTGCTCCAATCTGGAAGTTGTTGTTACTCTTTCACTTCCCTCCCTCTCCCCCCAACAACTGAATTTGGGAGATTAGGGCTAAAAACTGGCAAGACCTAGAAAGAACCAGATCGGTATTTTTCAAGTACTATGAGGCAAGAAAGTATACAGATCCAGATTTTTCAAATGAAATAGGAGTGATATTTGTTTTCTTATTAGATGACAGAGTTTAAATTTAGGGTCCAAAACTGTCAAGATCCAGATGGAGTACAGGATTTCTTAGGCTTTCTTGTATGGGAATGCATTACAAACCAGAATATTTTGGTGCAGTATCAATCACACCTGTTCTCTATAATGCCATGGAACTTTAGCGTGTATGAATTTGGAAGGATCCATGTGCCAGAACTGGGTTTTTGGGACATTTATGTTTTGTGTCAGGATCCACACTTTTTCTTTTTTGGGGTGCAATAGGAGTAGGTAGAATTGCTCTCTATTCAAGCATCAACATATGGGACTTGAGGGCCAAAAACTATATGGATACAGTAGCCAAATCTGAAATTTTACAATACCCTAGGTCTAGTATGTATTGGTGTCAAACTATTTGGTGGAATTGGATCAGGAAGACACGCTTCCTGTTTTGATGGTACAGAAGACTCAGTGCCAAAAATTGTCAGGATCCAGATATATCCATTTTTTATCCATTTCCGAAGAGCAGATAGGTTCCTATTTCTTCTGGCCTCTGACCCTCCCTGCTCACTTCCTCCTGAGATGGGATCACCTAATTTGGAAATATAACACAACTGAAACCTGTGCACAGAAATAATAGAATTATATTTAACTGCAATTATAATCCAGTCTCTTTCTGTGCACAAGCCAGTACTGCAAAATACAGAACCTTACAACTAGATGTAAATATACATTGTCTCCTATTGTTTCAGAAACAGATCACAACTTTGACACACACAGGAACACAAATAAACCTATTCTTTGAAAGTAATTTAATTATAAACTAATCTTTCTCTGGATTGCCCAATTTCAGCAATGCCTCCATACTACCAGACCAAAAAAAAAAAAAGACTCTCACGAAGGGTAAAGCCAAACCCCATACAAGAGAAGAGAGATACCTGCTACACCTCTTGCTCATGTCCTTCTCTAGATCCTTGTCCTCCTGAGATGGGATCACAACGTTTTGTTGTTAAGTCACTCACACATTCGGCCTATGCACTGAAATATGTTTGCATGAGTGCAATTATAATTCAGCTTTTCTCTCTGTGCTGTGCACAAACTCGGTAGGATCTCACTGTGAAACTAGGAAACAGTCCACATCCTTCAAATGAACATGCAGCAACTAATTTATTTCCTGCTCTCCCCCTTCTCTCACTCTCTCTCGTGTTTCTCCTGAGAAGGAAGCATGTTAAGTTTGAGGTACACACGCACATGGAAGTTGCGTATGTGAATACGTGAGTGAGAGCGCGTTACTGCTTCTCTGCAAGAGAATAACCAGACCCACAAAGCCCACTTTTCCACTTCAATTCCGCTTGCCTTTTGAAAGGGAAAAAGGCTCTATCAATAGAGAAACCATGCGCAGATGCCCCGCCCCGCCCTTACCCCCCCGACCGGGCGGGGGACTGTAGCTCCAGCAGCTTCAGGTCTAAGGTGCAGATTTCCTAGCAGGCTTCCTTCATAAAATCACCGCGGTGGATTTCACTCTGACTTGTTAAAAAAGCACGATTTTTTAAATGTGCACAAATAAAATCGTAAGGCGAAGAGGAACAAACAGAGAACGGGCTCTTCCTGTCTGCAAAAACGTCTTCACTTTCACAAAACTCTCTCTCCGCTCTGCCACTATCCTCCAGCACAGGCATTGCACCATCTAAGGGAGGAATCACACCGCTCCGCCTGCTTAACTCCCACATGCACCTACCAACTTTAAGCGCACATACACTCAGATAAATTGAGCTCTCGGTACCTACTGCTCTTAAGAATAGGTGATTTTTCTTCCCTCAGAATTATTAGATAAATCTGCTCCCATTAACCCAATGTAGGGGTATTAGCCACATCTTAATGCAAAACCAAAAAACTGTCTCAATGCTACAGTCATAGGTTTAAAAAAACCATACAGCTCAGGAACTAAAAAGGTAAGGTTTCCATAAGAATATTTATCTGACCACTTGTAACATACTATTTCTGATGACAAGATTATTAAATACGGAGCTAAATTAAGCATGTCCAATATGGAAAAGCCAATTCTGAAAAAATGGCTTTTTATCTTTGTGTATTTAATTCTATAAGTTTAACAATGCATTAATAAATAGGACGATTACTCTTTGTTTTCCCTTCTAAAAGAAAAAAAAATAAAG